GCCTCTGGTCGCTGCCTCAAATACTCTCAGCAATTTCAGTGGCACTTCAAGCCTCACCACCATAATTGGTGCTTTACTTGCTGACTCATACATTGGCCGGTTTTGGACAATTACCGTTGGCTCCCTCATCTATCAACTGGTACGTATAATTAATTAAACAGCCTAGAGTCTGTTTGGTTTCTTGCATCTGTAAGTGTAGAATTAGTATCAGTTGCATGCATGCAACTGTAGTTGTTGTAACTGATGTAACATGTAATTGTAGCTGCCGTCATATATAATTGCTTGATTTCGTTTTGATTTTTTAACAATTTGCAACTCCAAATCCCGCTCCCGTCGGAGATTAGTTGTAATTGGAGACGAACCTCATTTACTGCTAGGGGATTTTGGATTATTGTGACCGTCTGATTCGATGCAATATAAATAAACACATTTGCGATTGCAGTCTCTAAATGCCTTCAATTGCAAGTTGGATGTAGATCATAGTCAAATTCTACCAAAGTAGCAACTCTAATTGCAATATTTAATTTGTCTGAAAATTTCTGATATTGCAGTTCACTACATATGAAAAAAAAAAGCTGGAACAACTGCAATTATATTAACTGACACTTGCATTGCTATTACAGTACATTAGGACTCTTAACCTATCTAGTGTTTTCTCAAAACAACAGGGAATGATCACTCTCACAATATCAGCAATCCTCCCCACTCTCCGACCACCACCATGCACACCGACAGAAACCTGCCAACATGCGTCCACGTTCCAACTCCTCGTTCTCTACGCCTCCCTCATCCTCACGTGCATCGGCTCCGGCTTCCTCCGCCCCTGTGTCGTCGCGTTCGGCGCCGACCAGTTCGAGCTCCACAAGACCCAGACCAGCTCACGAAAATGGAACTACTTCAACCTGTACTACTTCACCCTCAGCATCTCCCTCCTCTTAGCCCTCACCGTGGTTGTGTACATACAAGACAATGTTGGATGGGGGTGGGGTTTTGGGATTCCTAGCGCGGCGATGTTCATGTCCGTCGTCGCGTTTGTCATCGGGTACCCGCTGTATATAAAGATCAAGCCTGCAGGGAGTCCGATGACTCGGTTGATACAAGTCTTAGTTGCCGCGTTGAAGAAGAGGAAGGTTGCTAAGCCTGAAGATCCGAATCTTTTGTTTGTTGATAAGGAGCTGGATGCTGATATTTCCACTGGAGGAAGGCTTCTTCACAGTGAACAGTTCAGGTGTGAGCAAAACCAACTTTGATTGAATTCTCTATGTTAAGAGTACAGAATGATAATTTCCTAGCCGGCACCATAACTTCCAAGTTCTGATACAGTAAAAGGGGCCTTTTAACATGATATCAAAGCAGAACATACTAGCAAACAAGTTGCCTTAATTATTAGATTGTTCATTCATAGCTCTAGTACACTCCAACGTAGTAAACTATGTGCATAATACCAAACTAATAATAAGCAAATGGCATGGAAACATACTAGCGAAGTAAACCCGGTTAAACCCTGAAACTGACAACCACACTTTAGGTGATTTTTTATTTTTATTTTATCTTTTAAATTTATTTATTTTTTTTAACTGGGACAAGATGTCTAAGAAATTTTTTATAAAGTAGATAAAATAGATACAGAATACAAATAAAGGGAACGTAGAGCTAGAAGAAAGAGACTAAAGTTGGAGGTATGGAAAAATATTAGAAGGCGAAACAGACTAGGGGCCGGTAACACACTACAAATATCGCAACTTTTGCTGGCTCCTTAATAATTTCGAAAGAACGCAAAGGTCGGGTTTCTAAATTCAAAAGGCTAGGCTGAGAAAGATGTGAGAAGACGCGTATTATAACCATGTACCTTTCTATAGAAGCAGCAGAAGCCCGGAATATGTCAAGGTAAATGCCCCAGACTAATCTAGCTAGATTTCATTGATGCAGGCTCCTCGATCAGGCGGCGGTTATCACCGACGGCGACATAACTCCCACCGGAAAGCCCAACCTCTGGCGCCTCTCCACGGTCCACCGCGTCGAGGAGCTCAATAATCCAATCATCCGACTGATCCCATCTGGTCCGTCGGGATCTTTATCATCACCGCCGCCTCCCACAACTACACTTCGCCATAATGCAGGCGAAGGTCCATGGACCGCCACTCACCCCAACGGCTTCGAAAATCCCCGCCGCATCCATGGTCCATATTCTCCAATCTTCACCCTCATGCTGGGCCTGGGCATTCTTACGACAGAGTCTTTCGTCCCCGATCGGCCGCCGCTTCACCGCCGGCCGTCGGGGCATCATGTACCTCAGAGAATCGGGCATCGGCTGACAATTCCGGTGTTCGCAAACGTGGCAGGCCGCAATGGCGAACAGCAAGAGAAAGGCCGTCGCGACGGAGCACCGGGCATGTTGGACAGACGAGGCGACGGCTGACCGCTGAGCGTATTCTGGATGGTACCAGCAGTACGCGATTGGTACCGCAGTACGCGATCCATGGATTTGCCGACGCGTTTACGTCAGTCGGGCACATGGAGTTCCTGTACGATCAGTCGCCGGAGAGCATGAGGAGCACGGCAGTGGCGCTGTTCAACCTCGCCGGGTCGATCGGAAACTACATGGGGACTGCACTTGTGACCGTGGTGAACGCTTACACCAAGAACAGAGGAGACTGGTTGCAGGACAACATTAACAGGGGGCGGTTGGATTCTTACTACTGGCTGGTGACCGTTGGATGCAAGTGATAATTCTTGGGTACTACGTTGTTTGCGCAAAGTTTTAGAAGCAGTTAACCGTTGGAACTGAGGGGGCAGGCGAAGGTGATTTAGAGCTCGCTGCAGTCGAGGGAAAAGGGGGCGAAGCTACGAAAAAAGAAGTGACGTATTAGGAGTTGGATCATAAAGTTAAGCTAATGTGAGGGGAGAATGCTAGCTTGTATAAAGTTTGGTGTAGAGATTTTCCTGAATCGTATGTATTCGCCGGGGGGCGCTGTGAAGGAGAAATCGATGTAATACTAAATGTGGAATAAGAGAATTATAACCTTTCTTTTTCAGTAAACCTAGCATAATGCATGTGTGGACGTGAACATATATAATAACGGTTAAGGTTCTTTTCCTAGAAACCACCTCGAAAATAATTTATTTTTAATTTATACATAAACCATTTCCAAAATTAGTTTTTGTTGCAATCAACCATATTCTAGCCAAATTCTTCACTAAAATCCTCAAGTTACCCTTTCAATAGCTCCATTCATACTACCCGACTTTTTTTATAGCTTTTAGGTCTTTTAGAATACAACCCATGTGCCTTGAAATTTTGATTTATTTTTTTACTAGAAGTTTTAACTTGGTGGTAAATTGCAATAAAAACATATTTTAAAGGCTGTTTATATATATATATAAACTGAAAATAAAATGTGATTTTCGTATAACTAACCTGTGTTTTCTAGGAAAAAACTACAACGGTCATCAACACGGAGTCTGAAAACATCCATGATGAGTAATGCTAGGAGGCCTCAATTTACAGTTAGGCGGGAGTGGCCTTGCGGTTCATGAGCTGGCTGTTGTCATTTGACTAGTTTTAATCAGAAAGTTAGGGGCATTTTTTTGTTAGTACGTCTTGTTTACTTCTTACGCCTCTTTAGATCTCATCGTCTCCCTTCCCCTCAAATCCAAAACCACATCTGAATGTATGAGATGTGATTAACAAGACAGCAAGAAATGCATCCCCATGCATTTCAACTTCCAACAAGATCATCAATCAATTAGATAAACGGCGAAAAGGGAAGATGAAAAGAAGAATCAAGTGGAGGAAAGAATGCAAGGCAATAAAATAAATACAGACGCCAATAATGAGAAGGTGAACATGATTTTGCTCATGCTAAAAGGCATAGGAGAGAAGAGAACCCATTCAAATGTACCGTTTGTGATCTGAGGAAAGGACAAAAGAAGACGCTCCATCATTTTGTTATTCCGATGTTTCCCTTGCTAACTTCTATTTACTCGTCCACCTTGGAAATTGAAAAGTCGTGGTTATTTAGCCCACGTCAGCCGTCCGACGCCGGGTCCCGTTCCCAAAATAATTACCCAGCTGGAGATTACCTTCGCAAGGTAAACCCGAACACTTGTTTCCAAACATCAAAAAGTCTCCACGAACGATTAAAGATGAGCACACTGCACGCACAATAACGTCTCCGGTCCATCTCAATACACGTGACCCATCTCCAGTAGTCAGTTGTGGCCCTGCA